AGTACACATTCCTTAAAACAACTCTCTCTGGAACACATCTGGATGAAGATGAATAAAAGCGACCATGAACGTGACTCAGTGCTAACAGTCTCCCAAATCAATCTGAAGCCACCACAAGTTCAACTACATCAACCGGATTACGTTTAAACCATCTGCTGCACCACTGGCAGCAAAGCTAAAGATCTCATTTATTAAAGATATTTTTAATGTGCATATAATTTTTATGATAACCAGTAAGATTTCTAAAAATAATGAACATTTAAGAGGCAATTTTAGAGGTTTTATGAGTTTTATAAATGATTCAGACTCATTAGAGACTGTAAAACATTCAATATAATATATAATCACAATATAATCACATTTTGATTGCTTGCTTTACAAAAAATGTGTCAAATGTGCCCAAAATTACAGACCCAACTGTAAATAACTTCATTATTACAGAAGTTGAGTATTAGGGAAAGTTTAATTAGGATGTCGCTTCAGCTGCACTAAAATAAAGAAGGACGAACAGACTGAACAGGACAGCACCTACATTTTCAAACTGACCACACAGCTCCAACACATTTCATGTTTGTCGAGCCGTCCGACCTCTGCCTCCAATTGCATCAGCCCTACGGCCACTCTCCTTCATCCACAGTTCAGCCTTCTCCACCTCTTACCTCCTCCGGCCTGAAATCTCCCCCTGACTGAATATTTAACCGATCCAACATTTATTTATATCTGACATCAATCTGATCCCAGCTCAAAAGAATCGACTGAGCATCACGACAACAGACCAGTCGATTCAAATCAATTCTATGTTGTTGTTATTTTTATACTTTTTTATTATCTAATTATTTGGGGGAGGGATTTGTGACAGCAATGATAAAAAAGTGATATTTGTGAGGTAAATGTTTCTGCATTAATGTCCTTCAGAAATCAAAATGTGGGTGGTAACATAAAGAAATAGTGATGCTTGGACTGTGGTCTTTGCTTGGCATTATCCAAAAGACAAACACACACAAACACGCTTTTCAGTATTAGATGCTGAATGTGCTCATGCACTGATCGATGCATGAGGATACAAGGAAAGGAAACAAGGACAGTGAGAGGCTCTCACACTGAGCTGAAAAGAGACCTGAGAGCTGTGCTATTTACCATTTACTAGAGCTGGGCGATATGAGATTTTTTCATA